CTAAAGCAACTGAACACATTCCTCAAAACAATGCAGTGGGTCTTTCTTGTGAAAGCAGAGCTAATCAAATACAGCATCCTGGGTTGCACTGATGGCAGCCAGCAAGTCACTCATGGCACTACGAGAACCTCTGCTTTTAGGCCAACAGGGATATTATGGACTGTTTTCTCCATCTGTTCTCAAAACAAATGCCAAGATGGTCAAGGTGTCGGAACATCCCACTGAAAATTGGATCAAAGAAGTGGCCTGAGCTGCGGTGCCAGGACTGGAGCCTCTGCAGAGACAAAATCTGTAGAAATAGAGTAAGATAACGAATCTAGAAAACATTTATACAGTAATTCAATAGGAACAATCCTGGTTGGATTTTGAGGCTTTCATATAGAGTTTGTAACCCAAAGGAATTGATGCAAGTGAAAACAAACAGTGGAAAGAACTGATCCTTTCACCAGGCAAAGTTAACAGCAGAGATTGTCAGCACTGATAATGAAGCCTGAGTCTTTAAAATACATCCTTAGAGCTGGTGTTGGTCTGGTGCAGAGGTATCCCATTGCCCCAGTGAAGACAGAAGCTGAATACTGTATTAAAACCAGCACCAGGCAACTACCTGTGTGTGTGACACAACCCCCTCTACATACTGAAACAGCCCCAAAGCCCTATCCCAACATACCAAAAGCTGTGGCTAATGTTATTACTGGTTATTTCTTTGAAAAGCCTGTTATCCTCCCACATGCCTCCAGTTGCCTCTTCCTAACCTGACATTAAGGATTGTCTCATTACAGAAAGACAGACAAGGAAAGGTATAAACAGGATGGGTAAATGAGGTGACTCAGACCTGCAAGACAAGAAAAGCAGAGGGATGGTAAAGGAGGGGGTGACTGACATGGGCACAGTGCAAGAAAGAAAGGAGGTTGTGGGCAAAACCACTCTTCGATGGAAGCAGAAAACACTCTGCACAAAAAGCAACCATTGGGAGCAGCATAATTTCTTAAAGGGTGGAGAAAATGATACGAGACTAAGAACAAGTACCTCGAAAATGGCAGGCAGGAAAGAACAATGAGATGGACACCTATGGGGATGTGCATGTGTATCTGCACTCTCTATTTATGCTCATGTTGCAGAGGTTCCTTCTCGGCTTTGGGATGTGCCACCCCATTCCCCTTGCCTGGAGAACACCATGGATAGAGAGGGAACTGGAGATAGAGCACAGCTCAGTATTGAGTGCCTACACTTCCATCTGATGAAATCAGGAATTGAGCATGTCCTGGCTGAGTTCTGCCCTCCTGAGGAGCCCAGCCAGCCCAGCTGAAGCTATTGGAACATACCACATCTTCCTTTAAACCCAGGTGTCCTGAGCAGCTGCCTGTTAAATATCCATGGCTAAGCCAGACTTACTGACCGCAATGACACTGCCATGGAAAGAGGCACATGGACAGGAGAGGTGGAAGCTGTGAGAGGAGAGGAGGACCTGCCTTTTGGCAAAGGCAGACACCACCACATCACTCCCACTCAACCGAAGACAGCAAATCCAAGCTTACAGGGCTGTCCATCTCTCCCTTCTGCCCTCCTTTCAGTCCCGTAATGTACAGCAGCAGGCACCAGTTTTTGGCACCTCATCAGGGGCAGCAAAACTCAATTTTACCAAGACCTGGAGGAGTTTCTGTGCCCAGAAAAAATGCTTAAACCGGTTGCAAAGTCCAAATCATCCAGACAAGCTCTGAAGTTTCCAGTGAGTTTTCTTCTCCAGTGATAGTCAGAAGATGCCTGTGGCTTCAAAGCTTCCATGTAACTGTAAAGCACCACGTTCCCCTGACTGACCAGAACAGGTTATTATGATTTGTGTATTAAAACCCAGTGTTTTCCACCTATCGAGTGCATAAACAACAGTTTAACCTTTATCCCAAGGCATGTACCCCCTTCTCCTCCTAGAAAAATGAATTCATGCTTAGCAGTCAAATCACTACCAACCTGACCTTTAAACACATCAGTGTTTCTTGGAAAAATATTATGGCTGAGATGCCTACTGTGGTAAACAATATTAGCTGCTCCAAGGCATTGTCGAGCCATGCTGTGTGGAGCCTTATCAAAATAAGGGGGTGGAAATCAGCAGGGACCGCAGATCTTCTGACAAACTCCACAGGATATGAAGAACAATGTAAATGTAACAGTCCTGGCAGATATATTTCTGTATTACTGTTCCAGAGATAACAGCTAAGGTGAATCATTTCCCACCACCTACAGCACTGAATTATTGCAAATTCTGAAGGGACCGTATTTATTTCATTGGTAGGTAGCAATTTACTTAGCTGAAGATCATTATATTTATGTGTCGGTGAAATCCTCACAATAATTATATATTTGAGCTGTCTCAGAAGTGCTATATATATTCTCATTAGTCATGTACTTCCAAGGATATGATCATTCTTTTTTCCCCTCCAACAACCTTTGCGATGCGAGTGCGAAGCACTGCACTGCACATGAACCTCCAGTCTTGGAGTTTGCCTAAACTCCAGTTTAATCACACAGCAGGGTGGCCTATCTTCAAATGGAAATGCTAAAGCATGCTATGAAATATCTTCATTTCCTTAAATGACTGCACTGGAGAGCTTATTTAAAACAGACCACACTGTGCAACAAAACAGAGGAGGAGATGGGGAAAAAAGTCCTCTGTTTGATATTACTTTTGAACAACTTGCCCAAAAAAGGTCATGATGATGTTTCAAGCAGGAGATAAAGGCAAAGGGAGTTTTCTTCACTTCCACTCCTTTCTTTGCCATGTAGTCAATTCTACCTCTCCAGGTGGAGAGAGGACCAGTAGTCAATTCTACCTCTTCAGGTAGAGAGAGGACCATTTAATTCTCTTTGATGCACTTCAGAAGGCTCAATTGAAAAGTGTTTTTGAAACACAAAACGTTGTAGGAGTCTAAATGTAAGTGGTTGGTAGGCCCTGCAGGTCGAGGGGAGCAAACCCAGTGAGCATCAGTGTTCTGAGTTGAAGCACACCTGATGTTAAAGCTTGCAGCCCTCACACTTGGAGAAGATCACGCTTTCCTCTACCCCAGCCTTTTACTCTCTGCAATGTTCCTGCAATTTGTTTCATTCCTTCCCTCCTAAGAAGGGAACAATGGGAAGAGGAGCCACGCTGACAGTTCTGCGGGCTGAAGGTCCTTGCTTGTGATTAATGTTCATATTCCATCCTCCTGCAGAAAGTTTCAGCCAAAGAAACAAGAGCTTTAAACCCATTAATCACTTGCATCACTACTCTCATTCTGTCTAGCTTCTTATTTATTTGAGTATCTTCCACAAGCAATAAGGAAATGCCCTCCGTTGTATTTTCCTCTACCATCCTTGCCAAAACCAGACAGCTTTGTAGTTTGTTTCTCCTGGTTTGGCTGATGCATTTTTCTTCTTCCTTTCTGGAAATACTAAGCACAAAAAGATGCAAAAATAGAACTTGTGTGCAAGGTCCATCAGGTCATAAATGTCACTCATTAGCCTCAGACCTACCAAAATGATGAATTACAGTTAAAATGCATAGAAGACTCAATCTTACATCCATATATGCAATGTAGTGACTGAAAGTGGACAAAGCAGACAGAGGCACCATAAGCTTGATAGAGTCCATCAGCAATGCAGAACAATTACCAAAATCAGGAAGCAAAAGGTTAGAGGTTAAGTTCCACCTTGGTCTGTATAAGCAAAGGTTGAAACAAAGACAAACAGTTCTCACTCCTTTTGCTGGTTAGAGAAATTGAATTACAGAATCCCAGCCTGGTTTGGGTTGAAGGGACCTTAAAGCTCATTCAGTTCCAACCCCTGCCACGGGCAGGGACACCTTCCACTAGAGCAGCTTGCTCCAAGCCCCTGTGTCCAACCTGGCCTTGAACACTGCCAGGGATGGGGCAGCCACAGCTTCTCTGGGCACCCTGTGCCAGCGCCTCAGCACCCTCACAGGGAAGAGCTTCTGCCTAAGAGCTCATCTCAGTCTCCCCTCTGGCAGCTTAAAGCCATTCCCCTTGGCCTGTCCCTACATCCCTTGTCCCAAGCCCCTCTCCAGCTTCCCTGCAGCCCCTTTAGGCACTGGAGCTGCTCTCAGGTCTCCCCTTGAGGAGCCTTCTCTTCTCCAGGCTGCCCCAGCCCAGCTCTCTCAGCTTGGCTCCAGAGCAGAGCTGCTCCAGCCCTCGCAGCATCTCCATGGCCTCCTCTGGCCTCTCTCCAGTGCTCCACATTCCTCCTGTGCACGCCTCTACTCCTTAAGGAGTTCAACTACAGCTAGGACCCACATTTCTCAGGTGAGCACCCAGTCCCACCAAAAGCAGAGGAATTTTTCAACACCCCATGGCTGTAAAAATGAGCATCAAGCAAATGTGAAGCAGCATGACTTGGCAAATAGACCTACCCATTGCGAAACCCATCCACAGCAAATTAATAAGCCTAAAAGACTCTCACGGTTTGAAACCGTGCTTCCTAATCTATGATGGCTGCCACATTTATTTTATTACGATATAAAATAAAGATCACACCTTTAAACTTTCTGCATGGCTAATGAATCAGCTGAGAGGGGATGGCTCTCACGAGAGGTTCATGCCTGTGGTTAGCAGAGTCCCACAGATACACAAGAGATGCAATTAAGCTGGAATATCCAATTCTACAGCTCTGACACAGCTTATTATTTGACTAGCAAACAAGGAACTTCTTCAACTTAATTGCAACCTGGCTTTTCTACCACTGATCTTTTCCATCCTTCTTTTCCTTTAACTTTAGCCTTCATAGAGTTTTGTTTTATTTTAATCCCTTGGTGGTTGTTGTGCCTGGTTTGTGGGTCTGTGTTTTGTACTATGGAGATGCACAGCTTCCGAATGAGGGAAGCAATAGCTGCTGGTAACATTTACCCCATCACAGCTCACTCGTTAAAAATTGGGATTCAGATTAAAGCAATTTGAAGCATGAATTTGATCTGTGCCTTGATGGAGGGTCTTAAGAGCGGCAGTGTTCAAGGCCAGGTTGGACAGGGTTTGGAGCAAGCCGCTCTAGTGGAAGGTGTCCCTGCCTGTGGCAGTGGGTTGGAACTGGATGAGCTTTAAGCTCCCTTCCAACACAAACCGTTCTATGTATTTAAAACTACAGAGGGCAGCACTAAAAACACATCAGCAATGATCTGCATGACCTGCTGGTGTGTGAACAGAGCTGAGGTTTGACCACTGTTAGAAGCTGAGCTCGTACCCCCAGACAGTGCCCTTGCTCTGTGGAGCTGCAGGTACTGGTCACTGTCTTAGCCATGGACACAAACTTCTCCTGGCTGAATATCATCTCTGTCCCCCTCTAATGCAATGCTTTGATTGCCCTCTACAGAAGGAACAAGTGATTGTCACTCATTAACAAACATCCCTGGCACAGGGCACAGGGACCGTCTGCCCATGCTCCGGTACTGGCTGGGAAGGGCATGGCAGAGCCACTGCTTTGCAGGACAGAGCCTCTAAGGGTCAGGTAATTACTGGCCTCTCAGAGGCATAAACTGCCTTTAAAGCCAACAAAGTAAACAGGAACTATGAGGAGATTCATCCAGCATTTATCTTTTCACTTGTTATCTCCGATACACAAACTCATTCTTACACTGTTTGTATTGCAATGCATAAAATATTAAAATTAAAAGGCTCAGGGAGTTCTGAGAGGGGGAAAAAAAAGAGCAAAAACTATTTGAGATTCAGAAACATTTCATCAATATGTGGTGCATTTGCATACTGGAATGGGAGGCTCCTGATTATGCATGTTTATTGATTTTGAGTTTGTTTTGATTAATGATAAAGCTATGATACGTCATGTGAGGAAGGAAGGCTTGAGGGAGCTGAACACAATACAAATGGGGTGTAGTATCAGAAATCCTATTTATGCAAATAAGAGGACATTCACATGCATTTTGCTCAACCATGGTTGTACCAAAGCTCTAAAACCATTCTCTTTTATACCCTGGGTAATTTGGGGAGGCATGTTTCACACAAAAACACCGCATAACAATTACTTTTTTCTTCATTACGAATGACTTCTATTATATTACCTTGGACAAAAGAACAAGCTTCAATTCCCACTGCACCTAATTTATTATTGCTGACGAAGATATTGGTTTGTGTCAGGGTGCATAGAAATGTACTGCAAACATCCTACCGGGGGAGTTAAAAGGGAGTCGGGAGAAGAAGAGAAGGAATAAGAAAAGACAGAATCATAGGATCACAGCATGATTTGTGTTGGAAGGGACCTGAAGATCATGCAGTTCCAACCCCTGCTACAGGCAGGGGCACCTTCCACTAGCCCATGTTGCTCCAAGTTGCTTTGTCCAACCTGGCCTTGAACACTGCCAGGGACAGGGCAGCCAGAGCTCCAACAGCTCCATGTCCTCTTTATGTTAAGGACATCAGAACTGTGCACAGTACTCCAAGTGAGGTCTCACCAGAGCAGAGCAGAGGGGCAGGATCATCTCCTTTAACCTGCAGGTCACACTGCCCTTGATGCAGCCCATGACACGGGTGGTTCCAGGACATGGGTGGTTTCTGCACTGTGAGCACACACTGCCAGATGGTTATACATATAAAATATGCATATATAAAAGTTTTGGCATCTTTATAAGAGATCAATATTGACACGTTAACCTTCAGTCAAACCACTCAGGAAAATGGGTGAAGTCTTCATTAAAGAAAGCTGTAGATACTTGTTATTAGAGTGCAAAGAAAATGTAAGGACAGACTTCCTATAGGTGGTATACCAAGGACATTAACAGCGACAGATCCTATTCCTGTCTTGGATATCACAGTTTAGACCGTGCACTGGGCAGTGGGCTGAGACTATTCTCAATCTACCCAACAAGACACCATCACATCCAGATAAAGAAGACCATCAGATGGCCTGTGTTCTGACACATGAATTATTCTCACAGATCTCAGCAGGATCCTTGCCTGCATGGCAGCTGCCACGTTGGCTGCAGGATCAGAGTCTAGAGAGTTTAAACATAAGAGCAACCAGAGAATAAAGAAGGGAATGGAGGTGAGGAGGATCCCTTCTGCAGGTGCTCCTGTGTGTTTGGAGAGAGACTCAGAGGGAAGAAGTGGGGTCAGCTGAACAGCGAGAAAGGGTCAGGCTGCCACACAGCCATTGCTGCATCTGAAGGGCTGGATTTATCTTGGAAATTGGGCCTCTTAATGCCTCCACTGCTTAACAAGGCTGCTCCCACTTCAGGGACATCGTTACAGGAGACAGATGAAACGCTCATCTGACTCTTTCAGCTCAAGATGCTGGAAATTTTTCTCCGCTTTCAGAAGAAAGAGTATTGCCCATTGAAAGGCTCCTTTCTACAGCCATTACAGCAAAGCAGGACACCCAGGCTGCAGGACAGCCTCTGCTTAACAACTCCGCAGGGATCTCCCTTTTGTGGTACTTACAGGTCAGGAGCAACAGAGCCAAAGGGACACTGGGGAGATCACAGCTATCTTCTTTCTGAATGTAACAGGCTGTCAATGGGGACGTTGGCATAAGCTCAGAGTGCAGGAGCCCATCACTGTACCTGGGTCCCTCCTAATTACTCTGCAAGAAGGGGTCCTCTAAGCCATGAAAGTGCACGTACACACACATTTCTTCCTCTAACAAAGCAAGTTGCATTCATTTCTGCACGCATTTGAAAAGGCAGCTATAGATTGAATGGAATTTCAAATTTCCTAAGGAATTATTTCACCCAGAGGCTAAAGCTCTTTTACATTTAAGCCCAAATTTAACTTGAAGCATAAAGAAAACTGTAGCATAAATTAGCCTGATGCTAGAAAAACAGGAAGTCGAATTAAATCAAAGTAGTAAACTGAAGAAGTCATTTTGTTAATGTGCTAGATATTGTCAGTGATTAAGTAAGTAACTGGAGTAAGATTATAGATTCTCAAGGGCAAAACAAAATAACTGCGGCTTGAAAAAGTATCCAAAATGTGTAAACATCAAAAATTAACAACTGGAAAAGATGTTTAAAGCCATAAACCCGTGCGAGTTACATACTTCCATTCGTGTCTGAATCGAGTTGTTGTGTTTCTCTGACATGATTGAGAGCCCACCGATACCCGTATAAATCTGACAATTCAACTCATTGCGACAGCTCTTACACTCATGTAATTCGCCTCAAAATAAAGCCGTTCCACGCCTCTGCCCTCCTATGGCACCAAACTGTATTGCATGTTACCCAGTAGTTCTAAGATTACATGTTCGTTTTATGCCAAATGATAGCAAGCTTCATTTAGAAAGACAATTAGCATCACGCATCCACAGAAAAGCTTTGCAGTAATGCTTAAAAGCTGACAATGTAATTTAACCTCAGTAACGACACCAGGGTTTTCCCATTTTTGATGGAAAACATTCCGCTTCTGTACAACTGCCTTCTCTCCACCAGTGCTTTTATTTAAGTCTTTAAACCTGGTACTTAACCCCATCCATGAAATATTACCCAATATGTTGATCACGCTGGGTTTTAATTTCAACTCAACTGAAGAAGCATTGTTAAAAAGAATCACTGCATCCCAGGGGAATCAGGAAATTACACTTTATTTATTGGGCTATGACTTTCCCATAAGCAGATAGAGCCATCTACCATCTGATTGCCATCTGAGGGGAGGCACAGCTTGAGAAAGAGCACTGCCAATGTGCCACTGGGCCATTGATGAATGAAGCAATAAGACGAGAAGGTCTGGGGCTGAGGGTCATTAATGCATACCTAAAATGCCATTTGAGGCCTGATGGCTGGTTAGTATTATAGAGCCTGAGTCCACAAGAGTTTACATACTTGGTACTGCTGTTGGTCTCTTTGCACAGTAGGCACTGCCATTTGTAGGTGTTAGAATACACTGGACAGTCTAAACATGACTTATTTGGCGGGGGGGGGGGGGGAGAATGAGACAGAAAGAGTGGATGTTAATTTGGTATTTAAGAAGCACTTCCATTTCAGAAATAGCATGCTTCCAGTTTCAATATTCTATGGAATGAGAGACAAATTATGTAAAGGATCATAAAAACATATCCACAGCCATTAGTTTCTTCAAATACCCCACTGGCAGGTAACTAAGTCCTTAATGAAGCTCTAAATACTCTATAACAAATCTCTGCCCAGGGAGAGAAGTGCTGGGTACAGCAAAGTGTAGGAGTCAGGACTACCCCATCCTATAGTCCTTGGGAGGAGGAAGCTGGCCTAGATGTGCCCCATAGGTCCCCTACAAGCATCAGTTCATTGATTCTATGTGGTTGAAGCATACCTATTTCAAACTACATTTCTTTCTGTACACCCCATTAAAGACAGGATAATTTGAGGTATTTCAGGTGAATATACTGAAGTATAACAAACCATGATCAGATGAGAGTGAGCTGGTAACACGCTTCCCATAAACACCACACAGCTGCCTGCCTAGACCATAAACTGGGTGCTTTAATGGCTCACTCACACCCACTATTGCCAAACATCCGTATTTAGGTAAGCTGGGATTCCTTCCCTTGTGAATAGACTTCCCTTTAGTTAGATACTCCAAATACAATGTTTTACCAGCTTGTTATTTTATTACTGTGGGGAGGCCTACAAGCATGCTGGAAAGGGACTCTTCATCAGGGACTGTAGTTATAGGACAAGGGGTGATGGGTTCAAACTGAAGCAGGTGAAGTTCAGGTTAGATATAAGGAAGAAGTTCTTTACTGTGAGGGTGGTGAGGAACTGGCACAGGGTGCCCAAAGAACTGGTAAATGCTCCATCCCTGGTGGTGTTCAAGGCCAGGTTGGCCAGAGCCTTGGGCAACATGGTTTAGTGTGAGGCATCCCTGCCCATGGCAGGGGGTTGGAACTGAATGATCCTAAGGTCCTTTCCAACCCAAACCGTTCTATGAGGCAGCTCTATGTAGCCCTTTCCTACTCCAAAGTGGACCAGGACTCTGTACTTGCCCCCTACTGCTCTTTAGATAATGCAGCAGCAGCAGGGGAGAGGTTAAGGAATGATTCTATCATGTGCTATGATTTTAAAAGGCCTGCAGGCTGTGATTTAACAGAGATGTCTAACACAAAGTTTTTACTTCATTTCAGAACTGTTATTTCTTATCAACCAGCATGGCCACTGTATCGACATTTCTGTCAGCTACAGGCCTATACTCTCAGTTCAACATTAGCACCATCACATCAGTACTGCTCAACCAGGGAAAAGCTAAACCAGTAGAAGAGCTTTCATAGAAGCTTAAGAGTATCCACACTTGAGCTGTAGCAGTGTAAATAAATCAGCACCAGTTCTGGATGTAGCCACATCTCCACCAGCATTGCTACTGAATAACTGTAGAGCCCAGGGAGGGGAAAGGGCTCATCTTCACCACGTTTATGTCAAACTACTCCATTCAGCCTATGCTTGAGAGTACACATAAGAAACAACATCTCAGCTACACGGGGTGATTTGATTATGAACAGAGTGATTAGATTAGCAGCAGATGACTTGGAAATCACGCTGCTGCATTCCCATTGAATTACCAGCTCCAAGAGCAGCAACTCATGGAGCTACTCTCAACAACTCCCCCTTCCACCCAACCCTCCCCTTTCAAGGCTTTGAGCATCTCTTTAAGGTTCTTCAGACACTGAGCAAACAAAAGGTAACGCTTCAACCTGTACCAAACCCAATCTGTTACCAGCAATAACTACATCAATAGGGTCTATCAAGGTCAAGATGACTACTAAAAGCTTTTCCTAGGTCACATTTCATAAATGAAACAGCTATAAAAGCTGTTATCCAGCTTACCAGGAGTCCACACAGGCCAAGAGAGAGCAGCTTTGAGTGAGACCAGTTCTTCAGATCTTATTATCAGCAACCAGGGCAGAAGGAAGAGCAAGCACACATCAAGTAAGTGGACATAACCATGCAGACACCAGCAGAAGGCCATGTTCCCACGTAGTTGAAGTAATGCAACTCATGAAGCAAGCTGTCCTCAATCAGAGCATGGAAAAACTCTTCAGCTCAGCCACATCAATCACCAGGCTTAGCTTGCTGTAGGGTTCAGCTGACGAGTAGCAACTCTTTAAACCAAAGGAACTTGCAGCCATCTGCCCAGCCCTTTGGTTTTAAGCAATTTTGCTTGAGTTCTGTGAATGTAGCTAACATACTGGAAGCACTTATAAAATAACATGGAATACACTTAACAAAGTTGTACAGACAGTCCTGAAATTGATGTTGGCTCGAGCTTAAAACCAGAGAGCAACACTACCTACTCATTCAGCAAGACTGTGGTACGAAGCCTCAAAGCAGAGGTTTTGGCTGCGTTCAAGTTGTTGTTGACACTGTTCAAGGAAATTTTGCAACAAACTCGTTTGTTTTTTTCTGTTTTAATAAAAGAAGGCACCGAAAAGTCCATCTTTACCAGCCCCATGTAGGGCATAACCTCTACTTCTCCACAACAGTACTCAGCTGAGTTAACCCATAGCATGCCCGCTCTGCCGAGCTCACCTACACCCATCTCATCCTAATATCCACCAGCAGAGAGCACTGGGTAGGAAACCTTTTTGGGAGTTACCAGCCTTTCTCCCCTCCTTTCTAGCCCGAAGGAAGCAAAACCTCCATATTGCATATTACTTTCACTCAGTATGGTCTTCTCTTCAGAGCCATTATTATCCCAAGATTAAACAAACCTGATGGTTTCTATCCAAAGTACACAAAGCTCTGACTTTCCAGAATTGATCTGGGGTGTTTAGTATTCATTTCAAAATCCAATATGTTGTAGCTCATGGTATTTACCCAGGAACCACACCTAGAGCCTGAGATCTGTGGGAATCACCTGTTCTGTTCAAGCCAGCACAGTGGATTTCAGTTTGAATACAGGTTTCATGATCTCTATAGTTCATTCTCTGGAATGTTTATTATAAGTAGTTGTAAACATGTATTAAACCAGAGTTCCTTTAAAAAAATCCATGTTTGAGTCAAAATGTGAAGGGAAAAATAAAGGGGGGGGGGAAGTGAAAGGAAAAGTGAAGGGAAAAATAAAGAAACCTTTCTGTTGGTGTTTTAAGACATACCAAACTATAGCAATTTCTTTCCCCATATCCAGTTGTAACGCTAAACCACAGATAAACATTACTAACTGAGCAGGAATGTGCTTCTTCCTTCTGATGGAGGTCCAAGATTGCCCTCTTGAGTACGGCAAACAGCATGGGGTACTTCACTTACCATGTGATTGGCACACACTTGAGTTTTGAATCAGTTTGGAGATGAAGTTGTTGGCTAAAGCTCTGGAAACTCTGACTCTGGAGTTGTCAGGCTGAGAAAGACTCATTCTTTTAAACAGCACTATATTCCTTGGCTTTTTCTCTGTTTTTACATTGTTCATTAATGTTTTGCATTTCTACAGATTGTGCACACACACCACACCACCCCCCCCAAGAACTTGCATAGGGGGAACTTCATAAAAGAAGTTTATTATTTCAGTGTGTGCTAGTAAAATAGCTGCATGTTTGGGGATATTGTCTAATGTAATCTAGCTGGATGGCACACAAAAGGTCAGCCAGTGCAGGCTGACACAAAAAGATGTATCTGTTCACTGAAAGGCAGAAATCATTTCTTACCATAACTCATTTCCACGGCATCTCTTACAATGTAGGGAATTCTAAGGGTTGAGGGTTTATTTTTCCATTTATCTTGCAAACAAAGGAAATTATCCCATAAACTTATGCTTAAATTATTTTAGTCAACATCATTTTGCATAGCAACAAGTTTATTTCTAGTATATTTTGAGACACAAGCTTTGGTTTATTATTGCATTGATGTTAATGGAAATGATCCAGAAAAGGAAAACATGTTATTTGGAGGTCTGACTCTAATGCCTTCCATATCCTAAAGCAGTAAGAATTCTGGGAGCAGAGTGCTTGCAGGACTGGTGCTGAATTCCCTTCCTTAGGGCCATGTAAGTGTAAAATCCTAAGTTCATTTCAGAGCCAGACCACCTCAAACACAAACCTTCATGGAGCTTCCCACTGTCAGCTTGAGCTGGTTTACCCCTTGTGCCATGATGGACACACACATGTGAGTGCTCACATACTCCCCAGAGCAGTGCAGAGAGTACACTCTGTACACTGGGGAGACCCTCCCTGGCAGTCCTGATCCAGCTCTGGGGCAGCAGCACAAGAGGGACGTGGAGCTGTTGGAGCGAGGCCAGAGGAGGCCACGGAGATGCTGCGAGGGCTGGAGCAGCTCTGCTCTGGAGCCAGGCTGAGAGAGCTGGGCTGGGGCAGCCTGGACAAGAGAGGGCTCCTTAAAGGGAGGCCTTAGAGCAGCTCCAGTGCCTAAAGGGGCTACAGGAAACCTGGAGAGGGGCTTTGGACAAGGGCCTGTAGGGACAGGCCAAGGGGAATGGCTTTAACCTGCCAGAGGGGAGACTGAGATGAGCTCTTAGGCAGTTCTTCCCTGTAAGGGTCATACACAGGAATACATACACTGTTTACAACATCCTTTCTTTCTTTGCTTATGCAACTGCTGTGTTATAACCAAACATTACAGTTATTTTGCACAGCAGTCTAATGTGCAGCTTTTTTATCTAGCTTCTCACATGGGCGGTAACCTGCCCTCACAGCCATGACACCTTTCAGAAAAGGTTTCTGAACACACAGTTTTGACTCCCTAGTGTGGAAATCCTCAAGGCTCCAGTTCCATCATATACTTCTTTCAACACAGATACTGTCAGCTGCTTGAGGTACAGCCCCACCACTGATTCGGAAGTTGAATGAGCTTTTGTATCAAGATCAGGGTCAACCAGTATCAAATAACCCACGTACAATCACTACCTCTGTTCTCCTAATAGAGGTATGGCTGAAACTATGCACAATCATGCTTTTTCTCTTCATTACAATTTTTATAGTAATGTATGTCTTCAGAGTAACACGAGTGCTGATTTCAATGAACTCTCAAATGCACAACACATTCACTTCACGCACGTTTATTTCATCATCCATTTGAGTAAGAAATAGTTTAGATCTCAAGTAAAGGCTCTGATGATGATGATAGATTGGTGCTACAAAGGTGGGTTGATAATTAAGATGACTTGTTTGGCTGCAGGCTTTTTTCCTTCTCAAGAATGGGTTTCTCAGTGCACTGCTTTTCTGTGTGCTGTTCTGGATACCGCCTATAAATTGGGCTCTCAGAGCTTTTATCTTTCATAAATGAGGTCTGATAAATGGTTAAGCCATCTTCTTTGCTGGGGACTGGCTTATGAGCCCATTGGAGGAAGTTCTGGGAGTTCTGTTGCCGTCTCTCTGGTTCCACCTTCCTGCGGCCCAAACCCTAAGGAAAAAATAGGAAGACAAATTAATGTAAAACATATGATTTACAATCACAGTTTCACAGATTCATCTTGCAACAGTCACTACCCCAGTGGGAAGTTAAGGAAGCTGTTACCACAGTGATTCCCAGAACTCAGGGTTCATCTTTAGCAAGTTAAAAATAGGATTGTCAGACTCGCCTGGATGAATATATATTCAATGGGAAATCTGTTGACCTTCCACCTCTTAGTACTAATAAACCACTTCAACTTTGCATTTCTGTAGCACACTATCTACTCCAGGCTATTTAGTTCTACTCAGCTAAATTAATCTGCAGAGTAACCCAAAGAAACAGGTTAATAATTTTATGTCTGGACTGCAATAAAGAAACTGAGACAGACCATGAAATCTGAATCTTCAAAGCTGTCCCCTGTGTGTCCACACACGGAGAGACACAGACTGATTTTCACACTCCATAGCTTGCAGGAAATTTATTTGGAATTATGGTTGATCAGTATCTCTAAAGCTATGAGACACTGCACAAAGGGCACAGAAATGGAGGTCACTCCCTGAATAATGAATACCAAAAATGCAGGTCTAAAAGAGCTCAGAGTCAGACGAACTATCACAATTCACTGCTTCCTCCTCTACTTGTGATCTGCTGAACTGCCCTATTGCTTTTGTTAATGACAGGACAAAGGAGAATGGCTTTAACCTGCCAGAGGGGAGATTGAGATGAGCTCTTGGGCAGAAGTTGTCCCTGTGAGGGTGCTGAGGCACTGGCACAGTGAAGCTGTGGCTGCCCCATCCCTGGCAGTGTTCAAGGCCAGGTTGGACACAGGGGCTTGGAGCAATCTACTCTAGTGGGAGGTGTCTCTGCCTGTGGCAGGGGATTGGAACTGGATGAGCTTTAAGCTCCCTTCCAACCCAAACCACTCTGATTCTATGATTCTGTGATATGTCAACAATCTAAGAAAAGTGGAAAAACATGAACTTGTTACACACAGAGAAAAGCCCAAACCAATATAAATTCTATTCAAAGTTGTGTCTTCTGCAACTTACATTTAAACAGGTATTTTATAGAGATGGGATTGGAAAAGAATACATTTTGGAGATACATCGTGGGTGTCCTACGGAATTCACTTAAATTTAGGACAAAAAAGAGCTTGAACCAAATAAGCGGGACTGAGCCCCCTACAAAAGTTCATCACAAAGCCAATCCCTTTTATCAGACTAATAGGATGCATCGCCAGCTAGAAAACCATATTAAGACAAGAAAAACATTTGCTAGGACCCCTAGGAAATGCCTATCAAATACCCAGATCATGGCAGGGGGGTTGTTCTCCTTGAGTTCTGCCACCCTCAAAGACCATCTCTGCCAGTCCCAGAGGAGTCCCATCCCAATCCTAATGAAACATGGGGTTTTCTTTGCTGTTTACATTTTTCTCTTCTAGCAAACCTACAGTTTGTGCAGGGGGGGAGAAAAAAACCCTGTGTTTCATCTCTGGCAGGCTGAGAGATCTGAACTTGCTGGATTTTGCTCAGTGCTGGTACTTACAAAATCAAAATACTCTCCTACATTCCGCAAACAGTGCTTGTTGTCATGAAAGGAAAACGGGAAATTGTTCTTCAATGCAGTCTGAAAAGAAGAAACAACAGCAAATAAATATCAACCTTCATACACCTGGTTTGGAGTATACTTGCGTCTTACAAGGGAAATATAACAAGGGAAAGTGTAGAGTCCTGCATCTGGGCAGGAACAACCCCAGGTTCCAGTATAGGTTGGGGAACGACCTGTTAGAGAGCAGTGTAGGGGAGAGGGACCTGGGGGTCCTAGTGGACAACAGGATGACCATGAGCCAACACTGTGCCCTTGTGGCTAAGAAGGCCAATGGCATCCTGGGGTGTATTAGAAGGGCGGTGGTTAGTAGGTCGAGAGAGGTCCTCCTTCCCCTCTACTCTGCCCTGGTGAGACCGCATCTGGAGTATTGTGTCCAGTTCTGGGCCCCTCAGTTCAAGAAGGACAGGGAGCTGCTGGAGAGAGTCCAGCGCAGGGCAACGAAGATGATTAAGGGAGTGGAACATCTCCCTTATGAGGAAAGACTGAGGAAGCTGGGTCTCTATAGTTTGGAGGAGAGGAGACTGAGGGGTGACCTTATCAGTGTCTATAAATATATAAAGGGGGAGTGTCACGAGGACGGAGCCAGGCTCTACTCAGTGGCAAACAATGATAGGACAAGGGGTAATGGGTACAAACTGGAACACAAGAGGTTCCACTTAAACTTGAGAAGAAACTTCTTCTCAGTGAGGGTGATGGAACACTGGAACAGGCTGCCCAGGGAGGTTGTGGAGTCTCCTTCCCTGGAGACATTCAAAACCTGCCTGGACGCATTCCTGTGTAACATTATCTAGGTGTTCCTGCTCCGGCAGGGGGATTGGACTAGATGATCTTTCGAGGTCCCTTCCAATCTCTAACATACTGTGATACTGTGATACTGTGATACTTCTTATATTCTGCCAGATGCCAAAATTACTGCTGCCTATATTCTAACACAGAAATCATAGAATCATAGAATGGTTTGTCTTGGAAGGGAGCTTAAAGCTCATCCAGTTGCAACTCCCTGCCATGGGCAGGGACACCTTCCACTAGAGCAGCTTGCTCCAAGCCCCTGTGTCCAACCTGGCCTTGAACACTGCCAGGGATGGGGCAGCCACAGCTTCTCTGGGCACCCTGTGCCAGCGCCTCAGCACCCTCACAGGGAAGAACTTCTTCCTTGTATCTAACCTGAACTTCCCCTGTTTCAGTTTGAACCCATCACACTTTGTTCTATCACTACAGTCCCTGATGAATAGTCCCTCTCCAGCATCCCTGTAGGCCCCTCTTCAGAGATTGGAAGGCTCCTCTGAGGTCTATATTCACATATTACATTTTTAACTGCACACAATTCTGTAGGGGTAATGTGGACCCTCTGTATTTTATTTTATTTACAGGATCATCTGAAGGATTTGCATTCCCTTGACTTGAATATATACACAATTAATATAAAAGTGTGACTTCCCAAATAAGAAAGACCTTCTGTCTGCAAGCAGCAAAATACTGCACGTCCTGTTTGATTCACCAGTAAGGCTAAAGCTAATTAAAATGAACTACAAAAGGGACCTTGAAACTGAATTAGTCTATGATTTATGTACTGAACATCATGTACCCTGCTTGTTGCAGGGGAAGTGGAGGAGGTATTAATTGCATAACTCATTTATAATCTCATTCTTTAACATGTTAAGCCAGTTCCCAAAATGAACCTACTGTTTTAGAAGAAAATAAGGACAACTGCAAAAGAACCCTTTAAAAAGTAATTTAACTGGGTTTGAATGAACTGACAGAGGGTAGATTTAGACTGGATATAAGGGAGAAGTTCCTCCCTGTGAGGGTGCTGAGGCCCTGGCACAGGGTGCCCAGAGAAGCTGTGGCTGCCCCATCCTTGGCAGTGTTCAAGGCCAGGTTGGACACAGGGGCTTGGAGCAAGCTGCTCTAGTGAAAGGTGTCCCTGCCCATGGCAGGGGTTGGAACTGGATGAGCTTTAAGCTCCCTTTCAACCCAAACCAGTCTGGGACTACATATCATTGCAATATTATTAAAATAGCTAAAAACTGAAACACTGAAATCTCTTCTGGACTAGTAAATTGCCTCTGTTCTCCCCCAAGCACTATTCTGTTGCTTCGTATTGGGAGCTTTATGGTTTTTAACTGCAAATGCTCTAGCAATTTTTACTTTTTCCATTGTGGAATACATTTTCCCTCTCCCAACTATGATTTTCACCTCCAAAAAGAGGAGCAAGTTTCAATGTGCAATGTGCAATTTAACAAAATATGTTTCAAAAGTGAACCTGAATCAGTTCTGAAGCTAAATGCTACAGGAGGCCTGATCCAGCATTACAAAATACTAAATCTGCCTGCATGGAGTCAGCTGCAAAATTATATCTGAGGGCATTTGCTGTCTTAGACAGATTTTCTGCCTTTTTTTAGGTATGTGCCACACGTTCACTTGTTTTCTCATCCAGATTCACCCAGACTGTAGTTCTATGGTTAAGTAAATTCAACAGACACATTCTCATACATGTGTTTAAAAATAAGCACCTTCTAAGTCCCTAAAATGTGGCACTCACTAAAATATCTGACTCCAATTACCAATCATCATTTTAGGAATAGTGTTTATTGCCACTGCCTATATGCTGCAGGAAAACTGAAAACAAAGGTGGTAAATACTGAATATCATCTCTTGGAAGGATTCCCCAGATTAACTAATGGTTTACAAAAGGAAGTATGAAAAAGGAGGTAATACAAGCTTATACAGTGCTGTGTTTCTGAGGAAACTAATCCCACAGGCAGCAAACCCCCTCATACTAAGAGATCACAGACATCCAGCTGCACATGCAGCTTCCAACACTCTATCAGCGCTTCTTAAAACTGTGACAGAAACAAACTTCCACAGGTTGCTCCTGGGACATCACATTTTAGCCTTTAAAGGCTCAAATCTTTGTACTCTCATTGCTGAACTCATCAGAGTTCTTGATTTATGAGAGAGAGAAATTCCACTAATTCCTTTTAACAGTGACATGCCAGTAAATGCAAGATATAAACCAGATGAACAGTCCTACTAGTGCTGATAAAAGGTCCAGGTGACCAGGTTCTCCTTTCTGAGTCGCTAAGGCCAGATGCTTCACAGAAAGGTATACGTAATATCAACATAACGTACACTCATGGTACAATATAATCTTCTCCTTCTCACTAGCCCCCAGCTTCCTTTTTAAATAGTCCTTCCTGCTTTTTGGTACAGCAAAATCTGTGAAATGAATTCAATATAATTGCTATGCTCATAGAAAATGGAAATAGAAAATGTTCTGTGCATAAGGTGGGTGGGTAAAGCAGAGCTCAGTGTGATGATAAAATAAGGACATAAAAATGTGATTATGAAACTGTAACACTTTAAATCCTCAAGGTTTTAAAATACTGTATTTTGTTTCCAAAACTGTCCCATATCTCCTCATTTTTAAGCATTTTTAATGATCAAAAAAGTAATCCTTTGCCTGACTATACGGAATTGCTAACATTCAATTCAAAACAGATCATCAAATTTCACTTAAACTGTCTTATATGGCTTTACACACAGGCTTTGGGCTGAGATAGCTCATGACTGATTCTGTGATATATTCTGACACATAGATATGTCTCAAGTAGGTAGAGTAGCTACTAAAAGAGTAAAGTAACTGATGCTGGCAACCAAGAACTACAGCAGGCCTTGAGTACCCCAAATTAGAACTAACGATGAGATATGTTTCCGCCTTAGCACAAGCAGCCATCATTTTACTCCCTGAGGCACAAAGTCTGCCACTCTGCTACTTTACTAACTACCACACTTTACTTAGCAAGTGCTGTCCTGCAAAAGGAGCTCTTTAAGTTGTATTGCCACAGTAACTCACCTGCTCCTGAGCTTTGAATGCTAGCGGCAGTTTCTCTTCAATGTACGGAGCTGCTTTGTTCTGGACCTGGTTTTGTGCAGAACTTGTAGTTGGCTCGGCTTGATTCTGGTCTACTCCAATATAAGCAAACTAGAAAATAACAACAATTGTGACCCATTTAGAACAAAACCCCCAAACAACAACAAAACCCCAATTAGATCTGATCAGAAATGCTGCCAAAATTGCTTATTCCCACTTATTTTTTATTCTTTGGCTTGCAGCAGCACCTAGTGGTGTCTGGAAAAAATCTGGGGCTTCCAAGCACACAGCACGACCGCTGCAATGAGGACATTACAACGTCACCAGACAAGAATACTGTTCCTCCAAGAACCTTCTGAAAACTGTTTATACAGTGATAATCCATCTATGCCATAACACTTCCTTTTGCCTATGCTGCTGACGCTGTTGTAGGTTTGAAAACACCGAACTGGGGAGGAACAGATCAGCCAAACATTAGGCCCATGGGTTCAGAGACGGAAGAATGGACTGCGCCAGGCGTGGGTCACAGTGCCCTGCAATGCTGAGATGTTCCAGCCCAGCGACCTGACAGGGACTGTGGCACTTCTGAGAGCAACAACTGAGGCAAACATTGAATCATAGAATCAACCAGGTTGGAAATGACCTTTAAGCTTATCCAGTTCAACCGTTCCCCAGCACTGCCAAGGCCACCACTGAGGGCCTTGTCTACACAGGAACACTTCCAGGGATGGTGACTCCAGCACTGCCCTGGTCAGCCTGTGCCAATGCCTGAGCACCCTTTGGGGAAAGAATTGTTCCCAATATCCAGTCTAAACCTCCCCTGGTACAGCTTGAGGCTGTTACCTCTTGTCCTATCACTTGTTACCTGGAAGACTGACTCCCACCTCACTACAGCTCCCTTTCAGGTAGGTGTAGAGAGCTATAAGGTACCCCCTGAGCCTTCTCTTCTCCAGACTAAACCCTTCCAGTTCCCTCAGCTGGCATTTTCCAGAAGATAATCATCCTGGGCTAAGTATAAGAGACCTCCAGCACTGTTGGAAGAGTGGAAAAAACACACTGCCAGAGGTGGCTTTACTCCCTCTGAATGCAGGGGACACCTTTTCCTCATCATCATTAGGAAGGGTGAACCCCGTTCCCGGCTGAAAGCCACGATCACCCCTAGCGCAGAGCTCAGGGATAACAGGGAGGGCGCAGGAGCGCCCCGCCTCGGCCCTCTCACCCAGTTGCCGGTGTGCTGCGCGTTGGGATGGACCCGCTGGTCCCTGTGCATGGCTCCGGCTGCTGCTGTCGCTGCTCTGCCCCTTCCCGGCCCCGACCCTGCGGTTCTCAGTTGCCACTGGTTGCCGAGCTCACAGAAGGGGTGCATGCCATCGCCGTGACGTCAGGCATTCGCCGTGACGTCAGAGCTTCCCTGACGGCATCACTAGTGATTCGGGTGCTCCAGCAGGATCCACAACACCGATGGCAGCGCTGCTCTTCCCCGCCTGCTGCAGAAATGGGGAAACGAGTCGGTAGAAGCACTGAATGTTGTCTTAAAGTGGAGGAGAAATAGAGTTCTGTTTAAATATTAATTAGTTCTGCACAATCACTCCAATGACACTTCACAATCTCAGTGGTAATATATGAAGAGAGGTCACTCCTATTACAGACATAGTCCCTACAGTGGAGGTAGCAGATATTTTTTATGTATAGTGCTTTGTAACATGTTTTTTTACAACTGTGGAATCATAGAATCAACCAGGTTGGAAAAGGCCTTTAAACTCATCAAGTCCAACTGCTCCCCAAGCACTGCCAAGGCCACCACTAACCCATGGCACTGAGGGCCTTGTCTACACGGTGTGTGAACGCTTATAGGGATGGTGACTCCAGCCCTGCCCTGGGCAGCCTGTTCCAATGCCTGAGCACCCTCTGGGGAAGGAACTGTTCCTCATCTCCATCTAAACCTCCCCTGGTGCAGCTTGAGGCCATTACCTCTTGTCCCATCCCTTGTTCCTTGGGAAAGCCCAGTCCTCTCCTGGCTCCATCCTCCTGTCAGGCAGTTGTAGAGAGTGACAAGGTGCCCCTGAAGCACGGAATCAGACTCTACAACTCAGAGAGAGTTATAAAGCAGGTATGTTTATTACGGCACTGGGTGCAAGAGGGGTCGCTCCTCCTAACTTGCACACCGAGTGGTTAAGCAAGCAGATATTTATTACACACAAACACACATATTCATTAGGTTCCCGACAGACTGTCGGGGATATTATAATTAGTTTAGGTACTTATTATCATAAGTCTCCTCCCTTTTGGCGCTTGTGCACTGCCCTCTGATGGTAGTGGGCAGGGGTCTTCAAGATGAAGTAAGCAGTCTTCCTCATGGTGCACTTTTCCACAGTTGGATGCCCCAGTAATCACAAAACCAGCTGAAACCAGCCATATCTGTAAGTTTCTGATAGCTGGCAAAGATTTAGGACAGTGTGACCTTCGTACAAAATTTATTTCAACAAGCACAGGATGGGCAGACAAGGAGTATCCAAAGGTAGCAGATGTTCAGGACTCACTGTCTCCAAACTATCTCATAATTAGAAGGATGGTAAGAAATAACTGACTCATTAGAAGGATGGAAAGAAATAATTCACTTGTAAGACTACTAAATTCCATTATCACACCACAGGCTTACACCACAAACATTGGTCTCTATCTTAGACCTAAGTAAAGTTCAAATTATTTTAACCCTATGTTTTCCAGGCACTTGCTTTCCTTATATCAACCCCTGAGCCTTCTCTTCTCCAGACTAAACCGCCCAGGTCCCCCACCCATTCCCCATCACAGTTGTGCTCCAGACCCTGCACCAGCTCCGTTGCCCTTCTCTGGCCCCGCTCCAGCACCTCAGTGTCTCTCTTGTAGTGAGGGGCTCAGAAGTGAACACAGGATTCAAGGTGCAGCCTCACCAGTGCCCAGTGCAGGGGCATCATCACTGCCCTGGCCCTGCTGCCGCACTGGCGCTGATACAGTCCAGGATGCTCGTGGCCTCTTGGCGGCCTGGGCACAAGCTGCTCATGTTCAGCTCCGTCAATCAGAACCCCAAGGTCCTTTTCCATGGGCAGATCACCCAAGCCTGTAGCGTTGCATGGGGTTGCTGTGGCGCAAATGCAGAACGCGGCACTTTGCCTTGTTGAACCTCATAACATAAAACCAACCTGCCCAAACCCAACGACCCCACAGCCCACCGCCATTGCCCGCCACTGCAGCCTTCCCCCTCAGGCGCAGCCCCGCCCCTCCCGCAAGCCCCACCCCCAGCGCTCTTCTATTGGCCAGAGTGCTCCTTCCCCACCCCTCGCGCTCTCCTATTGGTCAGTCCGCGTTTTCCCCGCCCACCAACCCCTTCCGGGACTTCTTGAGGAGCCTCGCGAGATCTGGCTGTTCCCGCGGTGACGCACCCCCCCCCCCCGGTCGGCAGTGGGCTCTGACAGGGCCCCGGCGCGCCTCCGGCGGCAGCGTGAGGGGAGCGGGACATGGAGGAGGTCTGCGGGGCCGCGGCCGCCGCGCCCCTAAGGGGAGACGTGGAGGAGCCCAAGCAGGTACCGGCGGTGACAGTGAGGGTGGGGGGGACCTCCGCGTGCTTCTCCGCAGTGCCCCACAGCCGCGGGTGTACGGGGGTCCTGCGGCTGAGGGGCAGCGTTACCCTCGGGCCGCCCCGGAGCTGCCCCGTGTTGCTGCTCCCTCCGCCTCAGCCCGGACCGTGTGGGGCTTCAGGCGGCAAACACAGCCCACAGTAACGTTTTAGGTTGCCTCATAGGTGTGGATCCACCTTCCAGTTTGGTGAGCAAGGGAATGCTGTTGTAGGGCTGGAGAGAAGTAGGGAGTGTGCTAATTATGATTAAGCTTTAATTGTAAGCGGTGTTTCTGTTGTTATGTTTAAGTGCAGGGTGCTGCGTTGTATTTACATAAACAGTGTCCTGTGGATCTGTTTTTCCCTTAACATGCGTCAGTTCAAAGCTCTCAACACAAGTGTGGCAGCTGCGTGTTTTGTAAAGAAATATGCAGTCATAAGGTGTATTTATTTATAGTGCTTCCCTGTGAGGGTGCTGAGGCGCTGGCACAGGGTGCCCAGAGAAGCTGTGGCTGCCCCATCCCTGGCAGTGCTCAAGGCCAGGTTGGACACAGGGGCTTGGAGCAAGCTGCTCTAGTGGAAGGTGTCCGTGCCCGTGGCAGGGGTTGGAGCTGGATGAGCTTTAAGGTCCTTTCCAACCCAAACCAGGCTGGGATTCTGTGATTATTAAAGCAGAAACGTGTAGCTTTAGTGTTGGTGTTAGTGAACACTTATTTTCGCAAGCTTTTGCAGCATTAGTAGGAATTCTATTTTAGTTTCAGACTTTCTGAGTAATTTTGCATTCCGTGGGAGCTGCCTCGAATGACATTTTAGCCTTACAAAGTGGAGCGCATGCTTGACGCAAGTGTTGGAATTCGTGTAACTGAAATGTTCAGAAGTATAGGAAGGAGAAAGCTATAAGTGAATGCAAGACTGGGCTTTGCTCCCTAAGTTAAAAATAGCTTATAGAGCAAGTCTGGAAGTTTTAATTAAGGTAGATTTAGATTAGACATTAGAAAGAAATTCTTCCCTCTGAGGGTGCTGAGGCACTGGCACAGGGTGCCCAGGGAAGCTGTGGCTGCCCCATCCCTGGCAGTGTTCAAGGCCAGGTTGGACACAGGGGCTTGGAGCAATCCACTCTAGTGGAAGGTGTCCCTGCCCATGGCAGAGTGTTGGAACTGGATGAGTTTTAAGGTCCCTTCCAACCTAAACCATTCCATCATTCCATGAAGTAATGGACTGATTTCTCTTTGAATACTAGGGGTCGGTGTTGTTCCTTGGAGGCAATGAAGTGAAAAGCAGTGCTGTGGTGAAGTACTCGTCTGCCCCACCACAAGCAGCATTTGCCCGTCTTCAGGAGAAGACAGACCTGAAACTTCCACCTGCCAACTGGTTGCGTGAAAGTGCTAAGCTGGGACCAGCAGGTACTACCATTCTTGGCAACAACAAGAAGAGTAAACCCTTTTCAAGGTAAATAACAGTAGGCTTTGTTTTTTCCAGGCTTTTAAGAATAATTCTAGTAGTGAACTTGGACCCTCTGTAATTGAAAGTAGAAAGTGCAGACTTTGCCATAGCAACTTGGTCTTCTTAGCCATTCTCTCTCTCTGCTTTTGCATCCTTAGTTCTTGCCTGTGTGCTATTGTCTTGTCTCCTTTATAAATGATTAATGATGCTGGTAATGTTGTTGATGATTATTCTTTTCAAGTGCATGTTGACACCTTGCCTGAGACAGTCAAGCTGACTTCATGTTCTTCCCTGGTTGGCTGTTGCCAGTTGGCCAAAATCAAACTAGACTGGTTCAGCCAGCTCTTCTGCTTCTGATAACAGGTGAAAATTGAAGATCTTGAAGGTTACAGAGCAAATTTATAGCCCTTCTGGATCTTTAGAAACCAGACCTGGCTAACAAATGGCAAAAGAAATTTCAGAGTCATGTCAGGAGTGAACACAGAAGGTGAAATAAGGGGCAGAAGCAAAAAGCAGCATTACCTTTCAGTATGGATGTTTGTTCAACAGTTGGATGAATGGAATTCAGAGTATTTAGAAACAGGAGGCTTAAATCCTGTGCTGAACAAGCAGATTCATGCCAAGTCAACTAGTTAGTGAAATTTAACAGTTTGTGTTTAAATCCTCATCATCTGTTTTAGGACATGTACATTTTTGAGCAGAGCAGTATGTTTCTCGGGGCTTTATGATTTTTTCCCCTTTATTTTAGATACTATGTTTGTTTGTCAAACAGAGGCTGATAGTTTAACCTGTCTCTGTCTCCAGTGTCAATATTACAAAGCTAATAGCGGAAGTACAACTTCAGACACTTGCACATCATGTATTTGTTTGGGTTATAGTAATACCTGGTTTAATTGTAAAGAATAATCTGTACATTTAAATAATCCAACTTCAATAACTTGTAATTTAGAGAGGCTTTAATAAGGGTGAAGATACAAAGATGTGTCTGTTACAACACGTAGGCCAGTTAAAAAACAGAAATTAGGGATAAAATTAAATGACAGCAGCTAAAATTAAGCTATTTATGGTCTTTAATGCCTTAAAGAGAAGCTCTTTGAAAAAAAAAACTGTTCTTGTTTTTAGTGGTAAAAAAATTAAAACTTAATTTCTCTAATTTCTCATAACTGTCTTAACACTTCAGTAGCTGTTTTTTTTTCATTTCACAAAACTTAAGCTACCTATTTGTGTGTCTTGAAACTGGATTTAAGCAATTTGAAAGAGAGCTTTGAAAAACATGTGGAATGTAAAACTGAAATTGTTTTGCTGATTAACTTTAGATGTTATTACACCTAGTAATGTTATATACACTTTTTTTATATAAAGAAAAAACTTTTAGATATCTAATAAGCTTAAAAACATGCAGTTGTCTATTTAATGTTACATTTGTCTTAACTTGTAATATTTTCCAAATAGCTTTGGGATGGCCTATGACTTCATTGACTCAGTTGGAAATGATGTGGATGTTGTGTCTGATTCAGAGGTAGGTGTAACTTAAGTGCTATCGTTCAAACTCTTGTTGTACAAACCTTATTTTAAGACACTGCCGTGGCTTCTGTCATCTTTGTGTCTTTTGAGGAGAA